CAGCCTGTAATAATTGTATTGTAGCAGTGGGCAAGAATGTGTTTTATTGGACCAGTTTTATAATTGTTGACTGATGAAACTCAGAAACTAATGACATCACCTTCATCTATATGTTTAGGGAGAAATTGTCTATTTGCTATTCATTGTTGCTTGACCTTTATCCTTTCTACCCAGGTGGGTGCTGTGTGCTAATCACACAGAGCCTGTTAAAGGTTTCTTGGGCAGATACCTGAGAAGGAAACTGATTGAGACTGAAATAGAAAGGAACATGCGCAATAATGAGCTCATCAAAATCATTGACTGGATCCCCAAAACATGGCATCATCTCAACAGCTTCCTGGAAACACACAGCTCTTCAGATGTAACCATTGGTGAGTCCATTGCTGGAGTGGTTTGAAATAAGGATGCAGGCTGAGCATTTTAGAGATTTATAAAGGATATATTATGGGGTTTAAAGCTGTCATCTCTCAATGGCAAATACAATATCAGTGTGGGGAACTTATCTGTTTACCAGCAAGATTGAAATGAAAATGGAAAGTTTAATGAGTGAGTATGTATTTCCTGGTATTTCTGCCTTGGTTGCTAAAGATTTTCAAGGAAATTATGATAATTTTTTGAAGTTAAATTTACAAAAAAATTACATCAGTAGCAATCCTTCTAAGCTTAGTTTTTTCTCTGCTTTCACACTGCAGCAAATTACAGCAATGAAAACACTTGATCAGTAAGTTCAGGCAACTAGCAGGTCAGGGGTATACATGTACATATTTAGTGGAATAGCTATGTTAGCAAAGAAATAATCTTTTACCATAGCTTTGCCTGTAAAACTTCTAAGTGTTCATCAGGTCCTAGAGTTGGATAAAATGACACTAGATCATTTTTAATAATAGGAGGCTGATAGCTTCGTTATTCTAGTCCCATATTAACATTCTCTTCACGTGAGTTTGCACCAGTACTATTTTTTTTTAATTCTGTGAGGATTGTTTTTAATGTGTTCCCTAGCTCTACTCTTTTTAACACACAACTTGATTTTTCAGGTCCCCGCCTCTTCCTCCCTTGCCCTATGGACGTTGATGGCTCCAGAGTGTGGTTCACAGACCTCTGGAACTATTCCCTGGTGCCGTATCTTTTGGAAGCTGTGAGAGAAGGGCTTCAGGTATATAATTTTCTTACCAGATTTTTTTTAAGGTATTTTCATAGGATTTCTGCAAGCTACTTTTAACCAATGCATCCAAGAATGAATGCTGTTGCATTTGCAAGAAGAAAATCTGTGGAGAGATTATAGAAATCAGCCTTGAACTCCTTTTGACCTTTTACTCTGATGTATAATTTAGCTTTCTCTGCTCCGGCACTAGAATATCTCGTATTTTATGAAGAGGATTTCTCCTCTATGACTGGATCAACATTCTTTTTCCACTATTTAGAGAGTTCACACCAATGCTAGATACAGCACAAATTACCTCCCTGAGCAAAGGCATTCTCAGCCTACCCTTGCATGGAAGAATTAATAGCCCTCACACTGATGCAAGAAAATGGCTTTGGTCTATGTGGCCCCCTCCCACCTATGTACACATGTAGACACACAGGCTTGTGGAGGAAAGCTTGTAAACAGATATTTTACCATTCAGAAATAATAATAAAAAAATATTTACTGGCCTTATCTAACCAGATTGAGATAATTTACTCTTTGGCCCTGCTGA